CGGTACCAAAAAAAAAAAAAAAAAAAATTTACAGTTTTCCCCATGTAGTTCTGGCTTCCTTGGTGTTAGGTTTGTTCCTGGTTTTATAGTTTTTGTGGCAATTCTGAGTGGAATTGTTTTATGCAGTATTTTTAACTGGGTTAGTTCTGATGTATAGGAATCAAGGTCTTAAACATCGTGACCAGTGAGTGCATTTCAAAATTTTTATTTGATGAATTATCCAGCGGTAGAATGGGCTCTTCCTGGCATACAGACAGACCCACATGCTCACACACCGTGTAAAGGTGCAGAGCAGCTCCGAGACCTCCAAACCCTCCACTCATTCCCCGCACCAACCTCACTCCCCAGCCCAGGCAACCGCTGACTTGGTCCCATCACCAGGACTTGGTCCTGTTGAGAAGACTGTGTAAACGAACCCGTCTCAACCTTCTGAGAACAGCCTCACTCACTCAGCACATGCAGCTGGGATCCACGCCGGACACTGCAGGGACCGGTACCCTTTCCCTTAACTGCCAGGCAACATCCCGCTGCGTGGAATACATCACTGTCCGGCGATCCATTCGCTGGCCAGGAAACACTGAGGTTGCTTCCAGTTTCTCACAGTCACGAGCAAAGCATATGTGAGCGTCAGCGAACAGCTGGACAGGTATTTGCACGCTTATGCTCCAAGTCAAAAGGAGGAGGAAGCAAGCCAAGGCCCACTGACGGATGAATACAACAAAACGTGGCAGCGTACACATACACATGCGGGCTATCGCCCAGCCTAAAGGAGAAGGTTCTGACACAGTCAAACACACGTGAACCTTGAGGACGGCTCGCCACATGAAGGAAGCCCATCACAGAGACAAAACTGTACCGCACGGTGTCACACGAGGTACCTGCAGTGGTGGCTGTCATAGAAACCAACAGGAAAACGGGGGAGGAAGAGCACGGGACCGGTGTTCAGTGGGGACGGAGCTTCAGTCTGAGAATGGGAGCTTCCGGGAGGGACTGAACCACTGACCGCCCCCGGGAAGATGGCCAAAAGGCCGAGCTTTGCGTGCATTTTACCACAACCAAAACAGAACTCTCACAGACACAACCTTGCGAGGAGTTTTCGGCTCTCTGGGGTAACGAGCAGGTGCCTATCACACGAAGTGTAAGAAAGTGACAGCCTGGTTGTGCCCCAGCCGGCAACACGGTGCCCGGTTCCCGGTGCCCGCCGCCCCTGCTCTCATCTGAGTTGTTCGGAAGGTGGTTTCATCGTGGCTCTCATGTGGCGCCAAACACGTCTCCTCCTGCGCGTTTTGCTGCCTGCAGACTCTCTCTGGTGAACGAAGTATCTGTCCGCCTCCTCCGGCAGTCACCGCATGGCTGCTCTTTCTCCACTGCTGAGTTCGGAAGTCTTGTTACAGCCTAGACACAGCCCCTCCGTCCCGTGGCCCTCCAGTGCCCGCTCCAGCGTGGTTTGTCTTTCATTCTCTTAGCAGCATTTTCAGCACAGCAGAAGCTTTATGTTTTGATCAGGCCCGATATTTCAAGTTTTCATTTTATAAATCATGATCTTACTGTCTTAAGAACTTTTTGCCTACCCAGAAAGATTTTCTCTTGAAATAATTACAGTTTTTAAATTTAAACCAGATCTATGATCCATTTAAAGAGAAGATGTGAGGCTCAGCTGAGGTCAGTTGCTTCTGTCTTGGACACAGAAGGGGTGGGGCTGTCCAACTCCATCTGCTGAGAGATGAGCTGAACTGGTCTGCACCTCCATCGGCAGTGGAATGAACCCCTTTCATGTAGCTCTGTGTCTGGACTCTTAATCTGTGTCTCCCTTCACTGGTTCTACATCTCAATCACTATAATTTTACAGTAAGTTTTAAAATGAGGTAGGTGGGTTCCTCAATTGTCCTAGCTGGGGATGGCGGTGCGTACCTGTATCGCAGCCCTCAGGAGGCTGAGGCAGGAGGATCGCCAGCCAGGGCTACATAGTGAGAACCTGTCAAAAACATTTTTTTGCTATAGCTGTTCTAGTCTTGTCTTCAGTATGCAGTCCAGGATTAGCATGCTTGTTTGTATAGAACTATCCTGTTAGGACTTGGCATGGGATGGAGTTAAGTCTGCAGCCTACTTGAGGATACTGATACCCTAACCACACTGGCTCTTCCAGCCCAGGAACAGAGGATGGCCTGCCATTTACACACGTTTTTTATTGCTTAAGTCAGCATTCTATAGTTTTCAGCACAGAGAGTTTTACCCAATTCTCTTGTGGAGCTCTTATAAATAGTACTGCCTTTTAAAGCTCTCTTTTTTTCTTTCTTTCCCTTTTTTGCTTTCTTCTTCTTTTGAGACAGTGTCTTGCTATGTAGTCTAGGTTGTCTTGAACTCACTATGGAGCCCAGACAGGCCTTGAATTTTTGGCAATCCTCCTGCCTCAGCCTCCTCAGTACTGGATTACAGGCATGCACCATCATACCCGGCTCCTTTTAAGTTTCTCACTGTACACTATTGGTATAGAAATAGGATTTGTGTGTTGCGCTTATATCCTGCAACCTTCTTTCTGAAAGTTTTGAGTAGGCTTTCTGGAATTTTTCTATACAGACAATTGTCGTTTATACACAATCAGTTCTTTTCGGCTTTGTTTTTTTGAGACAGCCTTGAACTCACTCTGTTGCTCAGGCTGGGATTACAGGCATGTGCCCCGCGTACCACTGCCTGTCACTTACTTCCCCCGGCATGCACCGCTATGCTGCTATGCCTTTTATTCTTATTCATGCCGAACAGCCCAGGCTGGGATGTCCGTCACAGTGCTGGAAAGGAGTAAGGACACTGGACATGCTTGCTTTATTCTCAGTGTGTCTCTCACTATTAAATGTGATGTTAGCTGACGGCTGTTCTGTGCCCTTCCTCAGCCAAGAGTTCCCCAACACTACCTTTAGCCGACAATCTGAACAATAACCAGATGGTTATGGACTGCATTCTGTTAGTGCTTTTCTACATCAATGGATATAATCACCTGTGGATCGCACTGTGGAGTTTTGTTTAGGGGGAAGGGGGTCAAAGTGAGAGTAGGGGATTGGAGAAAAAGAAGAATCAAGATATATTATGCACTGGTGGATTTTTTAATGCTGAACCATCCTGTATTACAGGATAGACTCCACTTTGTCACTGGGCATCTTTCTTTATATATACTGATGGATTTCATTTGTTAGCGTTTTGTTGATGATGATGAACGTGAATTCAGAGGGATGCTGGTCTGTGTTTTGTTTTACAGTATTTTCCTCTAGTTTAGTGTCAGAATAGGTCAGGCCCTAGAGGGTATGTCAGCACCCCCATCTTCTGTTTTCTGGAAGACTGTACAGACTCACTGCTCTTATCTTCTTCATGTGTTTGGTAGAATCCTCCCCAAAACGCACCTGGCAGAGCCTTCGCTTAGCAAGAGCAAGGCGCTGGGTCTGATCCCCAGCACCACAAACAAACAAACAAGACCATGTGGGCCTAAAGACTTTGGTTGGCAGGATTACCGTAAATAAACATTTACATTCCAGAACCTGCTCTTTCAGCCGTCCGAGATAACATCCCCTTCACCCAGCAAAGCTTTCCCTCAAGGAGATGCAGTGCCACTCCACAGTGGCGCCTCCCCACATGCCCTGCCACCGGCTCTACACTTCTAGTCTTGCACCCACGCGCCACACCTGGTGCTACCTGTAAATGGCCTGCTTGTCCGCGTCCATCGGGGTCTGGGACTCCGCGGAAGGAGGGCTCACTCCTGCATCCGGTTCGGAGCAGATCGGGTCTTGCTCCGTTTTTAACTCTGTTACCACTTGCATCTATAAAAGGAGGAGAACCTCTGTTACTGAACACAAGACAAATCACACTGCATCGCTGAAGAGGAACACAGTCAAGTGTGAGCGGTCAGACACTTAACGTGGCTGGCAGCGATACACACAGAATACCACAGTACAACAAGAGTTCTTTGAATTTAATATGCTTTAAAAGTAGGTAACATAAAGGTCAAATTTCCAAACTGCTTAAGAATGGAGATGAAATGCTCATGATTTAAAAATTACAAATATACACCACTGAGAGAAGCTCTACATATGAAATCTTTTATCTCCTCTTGCTATGTATCCTCACGTTTAACAATATAAAGAAAAAGATGATAAAATACAGGGGCACCTCAGTTCATGAACTCTATTTGCTCCACAATTCTGCAAAAGATGGCCATGTTGTGTCTGTGTGGGAAAGACAGCCACAGTCATGTTTGTCACCCAATGGAGAATTCACACACAAAACAAGAGTCTGCAAATGCTTCTGTTTGTGAAACAAATTGTTTGTAAACAAAACGTTCATGAACTGAGGTGCCACTGTCCTCTAAACTCTTTTGTCTTCTAAACACAACTAAAAATCCAATATGCTACATATCTGTGCCAGGTTGAAATTCTCCACACCCACTCCACGTGCCCTCCATACTGGGAAATGAACCTAAGATCTCTGCACCGAGCGCCACCTTAAACCTTTTTTTTTTTTTTTGATACTGGGGATCGAACTCTGGACCTTGCACCTGCAAGGCAGGCAGCGGCACCGCTGAGCTAAACCCTCAGCCCACCCTTTTTGACTCAGGGCATCATTCAGACTCTAAGTTGCCCAGGCGGGGCTCAAATGTGGACTCTGCTTTAGTGTCCCTGAGTGCTAGGACCCTACACATGTGCCACCACTCCCAGCTATAAGCTATAGAAATTTTCACAGGAGCTGGGGATTTGGCTCAGGGAGCTCACAGATCTGGCACGCTCAAAGGCCTGGTGTGTCACTCTAGCCGGGGTGTCTGCATTCACACACACAGGAAGGACCAGCTGTGTTTACTTAAGTCTTCAAGATATATGATTTAAATGCTTTAAATAAGCCATGTGTTTGTCACTGGGTAAAATGTATCCATATCCTTGAACAATTCAGTTAAAAAAAAAGAAACTGTTGCAGCAAACATCTCATTGCCCACAGCAATGGGACAGGCGGAGGGCTGAGCTTTCCTGCCAAGGGGCAGGCAGGCTGCTGCCCGGGTCTCACTGCACCCTTCCGTAGGGAGCAGGGCGCAAAGGGCAGGGCCCTCTTCAGCACAGAGCGCACAGGGACACCAGCACTCCACAGCACACTGCAGTTGGGGAGGCGCCCCTCCCACAGCAGAAGGACAGACACCAGGCAGCCACCAAGCGCAACCAAGACAGAAAGAGCAGCACTGACTGCTGGACAGGTTCCTGGGCAGCTCCTTGAATGCTTGCAACTGGGAGATAAATCCCAGAACTCCCATGTAAAAGCTGGTCAGCTTAGCTCTTAGTTTTGCGACTGTCAACATGAGAATCTATGATTATCAAAATCACCCCAGCAGCTGGGCGTGGTGGTGCACGCCTATAATTCCAACACTTGCGAGGCTGAGGCAGGAGGATTGCTGTGAGTTTAAAACCAGCCTGGGCTACATAGTGAGTTCCAAGTCAGTCTCAACTACCAGCGAGACCCTTCTCAAAAAACAAAACAAACAACAACAAAAAACACCAATCAGCTTTGGGCACTCTAGGAGGCTGAGGCAGAAGGGCTGCAAGTTTAAATTCTGATTGGGCAATTTGGAGAAAAACTGTCTCAAAACAAAATAAAATTTAAAAAAGTTTTTAAAGGGCTGGTGTCGCAGCACTCTGAAGGCACCGAGTTCAATTTCCTGCACCATGAACACTGTCCAGTTTAAGGACGTAGTTCAGTGGTGGAGTTTGCTAGCACACACCAAGCCCTGGGTTCCACCCCAACACCAGAATCAGAATGGAGGGAGGGAGGGATAGAGGGCTCAAAAACACAGATTGAGAGAGAAAAAAAAAAAAAATCCAGGGCCTTGTATACATTAGGCAAGCAGCCAGCTTTTGTTAAAAATCCACAGTGCTAACACTGATGTTAAAAAGGTAAATTATGACAGGAGAGGGGCGCTAACATTACTAGCGAGCTTGGGGTCACTTGTAGCGGTAACCTGAATAACCCACTGCCCATCTCTCTGGACGCCAACACACAACACGCACAACCTGCTCAAGACTGAACGTGCGACCTCACAGAGGCTGGGCACGAGCACACAGAGTGCGGCCCCGCGCGGAGCCAGCGGCGGTGACCAGCATGCGGAGGAGTCAGGTGCTCACTTGCTGCCCGTCCTGGTAGCTGTCTATACTCAGAGTCTGTGTGGCCATCATGGTCAGCGAGGGTCTGATTTAAGACATCAGATCATCTTGAGTCCGAAGCAGGTGGTGTCTGGAAAACAAAAGCCCTGGGCATCAGTCAGCGGCACGCGGCCTCCCTCCTCTCCTTTGCTCCACAGCACCCAGGCGGAGTCTACACAATACACGTTTTACACGGACAGGAAAAGCTGCCCTTTAACCTGTGCCGTGGTGCTGTCGACCCCACTCCTTTGCACCCCACAGACACCAGTGAGAATCTGGGCATGGACACCAAGGAAAGCGGGGCAGCAGGGTCAGGGCAGCCTCTCGGGGAAGAGCCGCATAAACAGATCCGATGGCGTGGAGAGAGAAGCAGTGCCCCAGAGAACAGGGCAACAGCTGCAGAATGAAAGCGACGCGCTCAAGGAGATGGAGACGGCGCTCCTCACAAGCCACGTGCATGACACAGTTACGCAGACAGTGGCCACTGCTCAGTGAGGAGCTGGAATGACGGGCCAGGGACCGGGACGAGCGCCTGCAATAGGACACCCAGCGGTGTACAGACCATGCTGAACCCCAACCGGCAAACCAGCGATGTCACGGTGCGTGCCACAGACTCGGGGCTCCAGGGCTCCCCGGGGAGGCCGTGGAGAGGCCAAGGGTCATCTACTGCACATCCCACACGACCACCAAAGGTCACCAGGGGAAGGGAGTAAGACTCTGGGAGACTCCAAAGCAACTATGGCCCAAGCAATGCAGAAAGAAGAAAGCAGCAGCACTCAGAGGGGACAGTTCAAAGGAACAGCATCCCAGCCGCCTCCTGGGCACTGGAGACCCGCGCTCTCCCCTGTGACACCCACTTCCCATGTGAGGAGCCGGAGGGTGTGGGGAGGAGTGACAAGCTCCTTCCCACCCCAGCACACGCTTGGGACATGCTGGGCCTTGTCCCACACATCCAAGCACAAAAAGAACAGGCCAGTGAGAACACGGCCAGGGACACAGACTCAAGCAGGTGAACAAGGATGCAGCCAGGGGCCACAGATATCCCACCTGAGCACCTGGAGGAGCAGAGCCGCAGGTCCAGAGAGGAACAGACAGGTGAGGAGCAGCGCCTGGGGCCTGGGGAAACAAGGCGGGACAGTTCAGTCACAGGTACCTGGCAGAAGCACACCCGGTCAGCATCAGGTCCCACCGGGGAGGGGCTCCCGGCCCCAGGACCCTGCACAGAGGCCAGAGAGGCCAGCGGCTAGGGGTCTTGAGGTGAGAGCGTCCTGGAGTCAGCATCCGCGCCTGGTGGTTGGTGTGAGAGGACAGACAGGATCTGAGACTACGGGGAAGCTGCGTGAGGAGGGAGGCAGAGATGGGGAGGCACGGAGCGGGGCACGCATGGCCACCAGAAGCAGGAAAAGGCGAGGAGGCCTCTTCCAAGGGAGTGTGGCCCTGTCTACACCTCCAGAACTACGACAGAATACATTTCTAGCGTTAAAAACATTTTTTTCACGCGGTGCTGGGGAAGGAATCCAGGGCTGGCACGTGCTAGGCACGTGCTCCGTTGTCCAATCCACCCAGCCAGCGACAACCCATCAGGCAGCCCTAGCTCTTGAACACCTTGTATAAAGCCACAAGTCTGGAGGAGACTTGGAGGGCCAGGGGGACGTGGCGCCAGGAGACTGACGAACACAACACGGGGCAAGGAGCGGCAGGCACGAGGAGGAGGGCCCGCTGCTGAAAGAAAGGTGCAGGGAGAAGTGCGTGACCTGAACCCCAGCCCAGGAGCCTCTGACCACACATGGACCTGGAAAGGTCAGAAAGCCACGAGTTCAGGGAACAGTCGTGCACGCAATGGACCGGGGGAGCCTTCACGGGCTGTGCTCATCCTCAGAGCTGTGCTTCAGGCCAGCTGGAAGCCGCTCTTAAGACAAAGACCCCACACGTCTGCACATGGGGCCTGAGTACCTCCCAAGGGCGCGGCACTGAGCAAAGCCTATCTCCCCCAAACCCTACCCTCTCTCCAGCGTGACTTCCAGATCAGCAGGGCCCCCAGACCTGGTCATTGAGCTCCCACCCAGTGGCAGGAGCCGCAGTCTGGCCTTGCTGCAGCCCACATTCCACTTTCTAAAACACATTCACGCCCACACCCATCTAATCACCTTCCAAAGGGCCCAGCATGCACACATGAGGCTTCTGGGGACATGCAGATCTACACCAGAACACCTGGGGCCCTTCCGCAGACGTGGGGAGCAGCTCCCTGGCTGTGGGGACCACAGCGTGAGGGCATCTGGGAGGAACAGGGGCGCACCCCAGGCGCCTCTGTGGGGCCACCCACATGTGCAGCCTGCAGAGAATGCAACTGGAGCCAGACAGCCCTCTGGGTCACAGTGGGCTGGCACAGAACCAGGTAAGGAAGTTCCCAGCCATGGCCAAAGGGAAATGCAAATCTCTGAGAGTCTCAGCCTGTTTAAGATAGCAACATGTTCTATAAAGCTTTCATTCAAAAACAGCCAAACCGGACCCTGAACTCCCTCCCATGGGCATCCTGTCCCTGGGCCTGCTGTTTAACAAGTCCAAGGTCGGAGCGTCGCTGCTAACGCTGTCCATGCAGCGCTACAGTGGCCGTGCTACATCACAAGACAGGTCCAGCTAGAAGCGCCGCTGTCAGACTCAGCAGCTGCACAGCCCCTGGCTCTTGTGCAGCTGTGCTGGCTCCCAGGTGCCCCAGACACACTTTTGCAGGCTCACCTGGAGAGAGCGGGACGGAGCGGGGCCAGAGCAGTGTCCTCGCCAGTCGCTTGCCTGAGCAAGCATAGTGGAGGATGACGGCCAACACACATGTGCCTGCAGGCCGGGGTGCCCAGACACCCCGTGTGCTCCCGACCCAGAGCAGAGACACTGGGCCCCACCACACCGCCCCAGAGCGAGGCTGTGAGGGCCCTGTGCATCCCTCTTGTTCTCTCTCACTCTGCAGCATACCTCCTTGGGCCTTCTGTTTTGTTTTAGGTAGGTAAAAGTCAAATGCAGACATGTTTTTCAGGCTGGGGGAGCCGTCCTGGTCTGGAAAGACATGGACACATGGTGGGCACTGACAGCCAGAGAGGCAGGGACAGGGAAGAAGTGACAAATGTGCAAGGCCAAGGTTGGAAGCGCAGCTGTGGTGAGGGAGGAAAGGCAAGTGCCGGTGTGAATTCACAGCTGTTTATAAAGAGAAACAGAGACAGGCCCAGGTGGGCCTCGCACACCTGTGCATATGACACGCACACCTGCATGACAGCACACACACGGCCACCCACTCTGCACCCCAACTCGGCAGGACGCTCAGGCCAAGAGGCTGCTTGAGCCCACGAACTAAAGGCCAACTTGGGCCACATCTGAGGGAAAAATAAAATAGAACAATAAAAAGAAAATAATGTGAGGCCGGGGATTTAGTTCAGTGGTTCTGCCACCTGCTTCACAAGTGTAAGATTCTGAGTTCGATCCCTGGTACCAAAAAAATAAAAAAAGAGAAGAGAAGAGAAGGAAAGGATGCTGTCAGTCGATTTAGAAGGGCCGGGGATTTATCTCAGTGGCACCTCTCCTGCCTGGCAAGTGCAAGGACCCAAGTTTGATTCCCGGTACAAAAGAAAAAGTCAATTTCAGAAAGCCAGGGAGATGCGAGGATAGCATAGCCACCATCGGAGGCCGCTGCTCTGAAGCTGTGGGTGCACAGTGTGTCTTCGCGTGGAGCACACACGCTGACAGACTTGGCTGCAGGGCTACCGTGCACAGCCGGCTCCACAAAGCAGCCGAGTACACTCACGACTAAACCAACCTGGGCCAACCCCAACGTGTCAGGCCTAGGTGGCAAGCAATCACAGTGCTGCTCCCGCAGCTTCTCCAAATGTGCAGAATAATAATGGGGGAAATCAGAAATTTATTCAAAAACATATAGCCCTGTAGTTCTTGCTTTCAAAACTGGTTAAAACCTCTACATTTGATATACACTGGCTCAACCATCTAAAAGAAAATATGCAATGTGCCCCGAGCTCTGAAGACGTGTGCTCTCCCTGCAGCAGAACACTGTGCAGGGGATTACAAGGGGAGGGGAGCACAGCGCTGTCTGCCCAACACACAGCCGAGTGAACGCAGAGCAGCTGAGACCAAGGCGACCCACATTCCTCCTGGACCCCAAGGAAGCCGGAGAGAGGCTGCCAGCAGATGGCGCCGCACTCCCAAAGTGCCCCACCCAAGCGCAGGAGCTGTGGCCTCCAGCAGCATCTGTGGGCTCACAAATTCCTCTCCCAGCAAAGGGACCCACCACTGAGCAGCAGCAAAACCACCGCTCCTCCAACTTGACAGGTGCAGCTCCCACACAAGGCACAAGGCTCGGCACAGCTGTTCTTAGGCCGCAGGAGCTATGCCTCGGACGGAGCCCAAGGCCCTGTCCATCAGCAACAGGGCAGGGCAGGCCCAAGACAAAGCTTGCGTGAGGGAGAGGGAAGAGCTAAATGGGCCTGACCCACGGCAACCAGACGAGAGGCTTGTCTTTACCCAGAACTGTTCTTGCACACGTGAAGCAACACACCAAGGCTGATTTGAGATTGAGGGGTAACTTGGGCTGGGGGTGTAGCTCTCAGGCAGAGCATTTCCCTAGCAAATCTGCCCTGCATGAAGGAAGCAGGGAGGGAGGGAACTTCCTGGCCCCTGCTGGTTATAAAATGAAGCTTAAGTGTCAATGACTTGTTAATGTTCTTGTCCCCTTTTTCCTGACCACCAAAAGATGATGGTTTATCAAATAACCAAACCTATCTTCCTCTGTCTCCTTTAGATCAGTCACACGTTTGATCCCAGCCAGGCGGCATCAACGCCCCCTCCTCAGCCTGAAGCACATGTAAGAGGATGGCTCCTCAGCCCCTCTGCACCCCTTGAGAGTAAGGAATCAAAGTCGGGGGGGGGTGAGGTAAGATGGAAGCAACAGATAGGTAGAAAGGAAAGAAGCAAAATCAGAACTAAAAAAAAGTACTTTTAAGAAGACTAACTCCCGAACATGGTTAAATTTACCTAAGAAGATTATCCATATCAGTATTTCCTAGGTTTGTGCATGCTACTTCTTTCCTAGTCCCATCAGATACTGTTAGCTGACTGAAAGAGTAAAGGGGAGAAACTTGATCTTAAGATAAAGAAACGGATTGAGGGCCGAGGGTTTTAGCTCAGTGGTTCCGCCGCCTGCCTTTCGCAAGTGCAAGGACCTGAGTTCTGTACCCGGTACAAAGAAAGGAAGAAGAATGAAGGAAAAAAAAAACAGATCAAGAGAGTTCAAATAATGTTTTTAGGCAAAACATCTTAGATCACCCATGCCCCTCCCAACAAAATTTTAGTGGGGCTCATGCCTTTGGCTTGTCAAAGGGGCCACTATCTTTCTGTAGGGGCCATGCTTTCTCCCTAAACTGAGATCAAGAGGGACTTTCCTACCGTCGCACAGATTCCACAGATTTTCAATGCCAAAATACCCATGCTATATAGTCTGTCTCTGTTGAGAGTCTCCACTCTATGTGAGTATGTACTTTCAAATTTCTGCCTAATAAATCCTTTACGCCACTTTAAAAATAAAAAGGCAAGAAGAGCTGGAGATTTAGGTCAGTGGTGCTGCTGCCTTCCTCACAAGAACCAGGTCCCGAGTTCAATCCCCAGTACCAAAAAACAAAATAAAATAAAATAAAAAGGCAAGAAAGAGAAGCACACACAATCTATGTCTATCTCCACTACCACACACAGAAAGTTGCTCTAACCCTCAAACTCAAACACCAGTGTTTCCATTTCTAGATATCATGTGTCACAAGGGCCCTGAGATCCCAGTGGAAGACTCACCCACTTAACATTCTACATTAAGGGCTACATGCGCTTTCTGCCTGTTTCATCCTTTACTGCAGTCCTTTGTCACTTCCCAGAGTTCCCTGCAGGTCAAAAATAATAAAGAAGACCCAACTTTCCAATCTTCACAAAAGAAGTTATTAAAATTCATTAGTAGCTATATTTCAAATGTATCCTTTCTAAATGATTTTAATTTTTTACATTTTTAAAGAACTTGTATCACACAGCGTTGGACACAATGTTTACATTCCTGTGGGGAGTTGGAACAAGTAACCCCTTCTGTTGCGGCCGTTAACCACGAAGTGTCACCTTGACCGGATTAGGAAGCGCCAGGCCACTACAGATTGGGGGGTATGTCCAGAGA